ACAGGAAAGGCCCTTGGTGCAGACTCATGGATAGGAAAGGCCTCAGGGACAGACTCATAGGCAGGAAAGGCCTCAGGAGCAGATTCATAGACAGGAGAGGCCTCTGAGGCAGACTCGTGAACAGAAGAGGCCTCAGGAGCAGACTCGTGGATAGAAGAGGCCTCAGGAGCAGACTCGTGGACAGAAGAGGCCTCAGGAGCGCAGTGTGCAGAACACACGCTCAAAATGGCGACCGCCATTACAGGAAGGTCAGCAGAGTATGGCAGGACCTCTAAGACGGCGAGGCTTGAGAGCGCTGACGTCACTGGGATGCCTGCAGCTCTCACCAACATCAGTGGTAAGTCCATAACGCTAGCTATCAGTCTTTTCAGTCTTGGCCCAAGCTCCGCGTCCGACTCAGGCGTGGCGGCTATCTTGGCCGGGGGCTCAGGCGTGGCGGCCATCTTGGCCGGGGACTCTTGTGTGACCGGCATGATGTGAGCAGGCTCTGGCTTGGCAGACGTGATGTGAGCAGGCTCTGGCTTGGCAGACATGACGTGAGCAGGCCCTGGGGTAGCAGACATGACGTTAGCAGACTCTGGCTTGGCAGACATGAATTGAACAGGTTCTGACTTGGTAGATATGACATGAGTAAACTTTGACTTAACTGGCATGACGTGAGCAGGTCCTGGAGTAGCAGGCATGACGTGAGCAGGCTGTGGCTTGGCAGACATGACGTGAGAAGGCTGTGGCTTGGCAGGCATGACGTGAGCAGACTTTTGGGAAGTGTCATGTTCTTTCTCCATGACACCCACAGTGAAAGCAGATCCACTCAACTGCAGAGCAAAGTCTATATACTGTTCTAGTGACCAGTGTGGGGTATTACGTGGCATGTCCTTACTTAAACCATAACGGAAAATGTCTTTCAGGAATGTTTCATTAAAATCCACTAGGTGACAAAGCCCACAAAAGTCCTCCACATAATCCTCAATGGAGCGATTACCTTGACGGAGGCGAACTAGTCAATCTGCTGGTTTCATTTTTGCGGTCGTGTATTCTGTAACGAATCAATCCACCACCACATTACACTTCTGCAGTAATTTAGCTTAGAGAACCAAAATCCATCCAGAACATTGCCTTGTTTCAGTCTCATGCAGCCATTTAGCAGTTGGCGATACAAGAGTAAATATCACAACATAAATTTTGATTATAACAATGCATATGATGATACATGTTTGGTTTATGGAAAATGAATTAATAATAATAGAAAATACAACAACAACAATAAGAATAATAACTGTTATTATTATTATTATTACTACTATTATTATTATTATTATTATTACTACTACTGTTATTATTATTATTATTATTATCATTATTAGTAGTATTAGTAGTAGTAGTAGCGTTCTGGATTAAAAAATATATATATTTTAGTTTATTCAAATAATAATAATCATAATAATAATAATAATAATAATAATAATAATAATAATAATAATCATAATAATAATAATGTAATTGTACTCAGGTTCAGCAATGTAGCCATAATACTAAATAAGGCGTTAAAGTTCTTGTTAACTATGTCTAATGTAAATGTGGCCCTATCAACACATTTGAATAATAATAATAATAATAATAATAATAATAAACTTACACTGATTTATCATAATAAATAATGATTAAAAATGGTAGTAGCGTTCTGGATTAAAAAAAATATATATTTTAGTTTATTCAAATAATAATAATCATAATCATAATAATAATAATAATAATCATAATAATAATAATGAAATTGTACTCAGGTTCAGCAATGTAGCCATAATACTAAATAAGGCGTTAAAGTTCTTGTTAACTATGTCTAATGTAAATGTGGCCCTATCAACACATTTGAATAATAATAATAATAATAATAATAATAATAAACTTACACTGATTTATCATAATAAATAATGATTAAAAATGTTATTATTACTGTTCTGGAATTTATTTTATTTTATAATTAAATATATAATTACATATAAAAGCAAGGATAACCCTGATATTATGCAGTAGTTCCTGAGTTAATTCACTCAACCTGATTACTTTGCTGCAGATTTGCTGATACCAAATTGCTATTGCCATTGGGAAAGCTTTACAGGGACAGTAATAGTAACTAAGGGGGGCAGAACCACACCTGTGAGGACACACTTTATTAACAAACCATTCCTCATTTTATCTCTGAAGGTCGTGATTAGAATGAATGGCTCCAGTGTGATACCATTTCTTGTGCCACAGTAAATGACACATTTCCCCTTTAAGCATAATGACAGTTGCATATATTTATAGTGCCACTTTGCGTCCTCACTACCTAGACCCGACTCTG